CGAACTGGTTACAGAGGCGGAGGAGTATCACGATGAGAAGGCACCCGAGCGTCCGAAGGAGGAACGCATGAAAGCTTATCAAGAGTTCGTCCGGTCGCAGCTCGACGGCATGTCGCTGATCAAGGAACCCGTCGTCGATGACCTCAGTTGCTTCGAAAACGTTCAGGACAAGTGTTTCAAGGCGTTCAAGAGTCGCGTGTCCCAAAATCCTGAGCAGGTATAAGTCGATGACAGTCACATCTTCGTGTCTCACATCTGCAGATAGGTGACTACAATAGCGGGTAATATTATCTGACTGTGGCACCTCCACCTCGAACTTTGACCGTGAATTCGACGCTCTGCTGAATTCTGAAGCAGCCCCTTAAATGCGTTAATGATTAATTAACGGCTTTTTGTTCTGACCTGTAGATGTAAACTTCTCGTATGATGGTGTCACAGTTTGATCGAGTAAAACGCATGTACACCTACGCCATACTGAGCAGTGGGATTTATCTTTAGATTTATTCCATAAGCCAGCGATGCCTTCAACCTGTGTATCTCATCGCTGTAGTTCAGTTCATTTCTGGATGAAGACCTTCAACACCAAAGCTTTGTCTGGTTCTTACTGATAATACTGTCAGTGGTAGTATATACTGTCATAGTGTCTGCCTACTGTACTGTTGTAAATCCCCGATAGAAACAGATATGAAAATGAAAATATTTGCATAATGTAACTTTTCAGCTGTACTGTTCAGTTTATTCAAATGTAGTGATCATTGTTTTATTTTAGGTTATTCGTTACCAGCTGAACGGTGATCCCCTATGGGCAGGAACTGCCATACCTACTGCAATCGTTCCTTGTGAATATTGCAACGGTGCCCGCAGATTTGAATTTCAGATTATGCCGCATTTGTTGTCCTATTTGGACGTCGATTCTTTAGATCGAAGCATCGATTGGGCAACGGTTGCAGTGTACACCTGTTCTCGAAACTGTCCACCTCCTGATGGCGGCTACGCGAAGGAATTTGTATGGAAGCAGGATTATAACAGTTGATTTTTCAATGACATTGTGAAATTAGTGTTGTCGAAAGTTAAACTATTCTGTTGTGAATGAATGAAAATTTTCAGTAGCTCTAACCATCGTTATTCATTTGTTTGACCGAACTGGAAAATGTCGTCCTCACATCCTAGCGATGACGCCATGGGTTTACAGTTTCAGTAATGGTATGCTTCTAAATTTTTCATGCGTACTTCATGTCTATGGATTTATTTCCCTTCTATCCATGAAGCGTTATTCCGATTTTTCCATCGTCTCGCTCATTAGTATTATTGTTGGTAAAAAGGGTAGCAGTTGTAAGTTTCAGAATGTATTTACAATACTAGAAAGGAAATTTGCTGCACATTAATCTTTATGATAACTGCACTGCAGGCTAGTTGACGTAGACATTGCACCAAATGATTAAAATATATTCAAGATCTTATGTATTTATGAAAAAAAATAGTATAAAAGATTTTGGATACGCAAAACAAAGACGAGTACTTCCCATACTGGCATACAATGCTTCAGAAAAGTTGATTGGCAAGAGTCATTGTCTCTGTAGACGTAAACAATAAGACAGACGTATTTCAAGCTGAATGTGTTGCCCAGAACGGTAAAAGGTAGTATAGCGAGTGTCTGCAAGTATGGAACGCTAAAAAATATGCTCATGCATTTAGCAGTTAATTAGCATACTTGTGCGTATGATATTACTCCTGTGGACAGAGTAGTCTCAGACAGTACTCAAATTATTTGTAGTTTAAACGTGAGGAATCAATCTGTATGTGATTGGAATGAAATTTAATCACAGTTTGTCAGAATGATGATATCATTAATCGCACGTCGCGTAAAGATGAAAAATCAGTAGATGTTCGCTATGACTGCGAATTTCATAGTGCTAGCGTTTCATCACTGAAAGTTTCACCTCTTTCTAATTAACTGTCACTGACTCAATTGTAGCGTCAGCGGATCGAAAATTTGCTATTTAAAAGAGGCTACTGAAACTTTTATTTTTTCAGCATAAATTCAGCGAAAACTAATAACTTAAAAATATAAGTGAAGCAGAAGGCACGCGAGGTCACTACTAAAACTCGAAACAACAATAGTGCATAAAATTTATTTGGATAAGATAAACATTTAGTACCCTCAGTGGTTCCTTTATCTTCATGGGAAAAGTTTCTGGAACAGCTACCGCTAATTAGTAGTTTGTTATTTTTTGAGTTCACTCTCGCTTTTTATTTATTGATATTATCTTATTGTTATTCAATTATCCATAAATTGTGGATGAATTGTGAAAAGCTGGAAAACCGCAAAGAATGTTGGAATCGAGGAAATCCGTCAACAAATGCCCAAGTTTTAGAAGGGGGCATGTTTTGGTCAGCATGCGTCTTACAAGCTGCAATGGCTAGGAGAAGGCACCAATAAATTGGAGAATAGGGGGTGACACTGTCTCAAAAATAATAAGGAGTAATGATTCATTGTTCCGGTGATCAAGTAATTGAGTCTTCTGGAAAAAGTATATACAAAGATCTTAAAATGGATGTACCTCGGAATAACTGAATCAAACATTCTTCAAGAGTAATGATGCCATCGATCACATTTTCGTCCCTATGTCAAATTGTTGAGAAATCGAAAGAGTTCACTATTCTGACAAGGGTAGGGTTTGTAAACTTCTATAAATCCAATGGCGGGATCGCGCGTAACAGCCTGAGTGTTTGTCAGCTTGAATATGGGATCAGTGGCAATTTTTACTGGCCGCCCATTCATCATATGTTAGGACGTGGTATTGTCTCAAGTTAAATGGCACAGTTGGCACCTTACAGCGTGATTTTCGTGATCATACGGCAGTGATCCCCGCCATTGATATGTTCCATCTCTTCTCTTTTCTGTGTTTTACCCAGACAGGATAGTCAGACATAATAAAGGATAGAGTGTTTCAAAGTAGATGTCGACACGGCAAGTTTGTTATTTACGGACAACCACATTTTTGACATCTTTTGAAACTGACATCAAAACTGAGTTGATCATTTAAAACTGAGCTCCGCTTTAGTCACAATGGTTCGGACTAGTTCACACAGAACGCCAATGGCTACTCCAATTCGCCGGTTGATCTCTTCCTCCAACTTTCCATCACTAGTAAATATAGTTCCGATTTTACTAATTTCCTAAATAAAAAAAAACTAATAACATGACCCGAACCGGATACCGGCCGGTGGAGCACTACCGAATGAGCAACGGCGGTCTAGAGGGATTGCATAGTACGCTTGCATTGTAATACTAGCATGCGAAGCGTATGGTAATTCTGCCCAGAACGGGCGCTATGGCACCTAGTACTGCAATTCATCTGAACCCACATGATGGCTGATCATACAGTGTGATAATGAACACAAGGTCTAAGTGATCAAATGTTTTAAAGCTTCATTGCTGCTCCTCTAACATTGGCCTAATATTCTTCGCGATATTTTCTTCAAAATTCTGCTTGTTTTCAAATCTATCTATATTCCTGAGGTTTTTTCGAATATCCTCAATTCGTGGACCATCACAAGATATTAGACTGAATATCGCTTCGTTAGAACCGTAAAATTTTGCATTTGACTCCTTTCCCGGTATGCATAATCAAACAACCGCAAATACATACGAAGATACACTACTTGTTTGGCGAGGGACAGCACACATAGAATTGGAATCGATGACGGGACAGAGGACCCAAACACCGGGATTCAAACGGTCCGCCAATGATGACAAAATTTGCTGACCGATTTGCATGCGCTGATTCTGACTGGACGAAAATAGCATTGCTTTTCACGTATTACCTTCCTTTGCAAGAAAAGAGTAAAATGAAAATGTCTTTGGTTCCTTCAGCATGTGTACCTGCTGATTTTAACTGCGGCTGTTTAAACCTTGGCTTTTGTAGTTTGGAAAAGTGCATTTTTCTCTAATGTGTATGAACGGTTAATTTCGTTTCAGCTCTTACCGTAGCTGTCATTATGCCGTCCTTGTTGCACCTTTTGCTTCATGTGGTTTTGCTGAAGTACTAAAGTGTTCATTTATAAATTTGAACCAAGCAGTTCATAGTCCCTTTTCTCCTGTAATAGTCGTTTCCTGAGAAGTAGAGAGGTTAGTTTCGGAGTAGGGAATTCTTTGTGACCGATCCGCGAGTCTCAACAAAGCTAGACGACTAGTTAGCATGATGCTGCAGCAGCTAAGATGAGCGATGTACCGTAATGCATCGACAGATCTGGTGGCGTCCGAACCTTCGACGTCGATGATGCTCACGTGGTATCGCTCGTTCCCACAAAG